TCCATCACAGAGACATCTGGACATGTCTATCCAACATAGAGACACCTGGACATGTCTCAGTCCATCACAGAGACATCTGGACATGTCTCAGTCCATCATAGAGACACCTGGACATGTCTAGTCCATCATATAGACACCTGGACATGTCTCAATCCATCATAGAGAATCTGGACATGTCTATCCAACATAGAGACACCTGGACATGTCTCAGTCCATCACAGAGAGACCTGGACATGTCTCAGTCCATCACAGAGACATCTGGACATGTCTCAGTCTGTCATAGAGATATCTGGACATGTCTAGTCCATCATAAGGACATCTGGACATGTCTATCCAACATAGAGACTTGGACATGTCTCAGTCCATCACAGAGACATCTGGACATGTCTCAGTCCATCACAGAGACATCTGGACATGTCTCAGTCCATCACAGACATCTGGACATGTCTCAGTCCATTAGAGTTACTGTTTAACCTAAAAAAAGATGCTTTAGTTTGTGGAAGAAAAAATGAGAAAATCCACAGGTGCACAGGTAGAACCTGCAACCTTTATAATTTAATCTTCAACCACTGCTCTACTGTCTCACCACATGTTAAAGAGTCATGAGTGTTTTAAATAAAAACGGATCCTTTTAGCAACATTTTACCTGGAACTTTGATGCAACTTATTTCAAAAAGAGTTTTTATAAAACCAAGGTTTGATTTGGTGAAATTGTGTGTAATAATTATTAATATTAAAGGTTATAATTCCAACTTCAGGTGGAGTTTTATTTCTGATTACAGAAAACACCGTCTGTTTCTACATCTTATTAAAAAACAAAGAACAGATTAAAACACTTCTAATAAAAAATAAAAACAGTTTTAGTGGTTTGTCACATGCTAATGCTAATTAGCCTTCCTGGTTCATACCAAATATTTATTGATAAATAGTTTTTTGTCTTAGAAAGAGTCCAGTGACCATTATAATCACTTCAAACACCTTTTTATTTTGGCATCTTTGAAAATGACTCCATGAGCGGCAGTTTCTGACTGAAGAACGAAAAACAAACGTGGAGAGCAGGGTGGGAGAAGAATCACTCATGAAATGAAGGTACTTCTGAAAGCTGTGAAACAAACATGTTCAGATTTATTTTATTCCAGTGAAAATGGCATTTCACTTTAAGGGTAAATCAAACGTAAACCTTCGGCTCCTGTTCCTTCCTTCGGCTGTTTCTCTTTGCTTCTCAGGCGATCGACAGGAGCGGGAGGAGCCAATYAAAACTCAAAACAAGCGTAAATTTTACACACTCAGAGAGAATGCAAAGACCTCGGCCTCGACAGGAGGAAAAATAAAAAGCAGGTTTGACTTTGTGAGACGTCTGAACTCAGCCGGTTTGTTCTCCGCTGTACACGTCGAGTCAGGAAATACCATTCCTTCTTTCCTCTTTTAGTATAAAAACACATAAAAAAGTTTTTTCAAAAGAACGAGGTTTCCCCTCTCATCACCGGCGTGTTCTGTGAGCGTTATTTACAACCGTACAAAACGTGTTTATTTCTTGTTTCAAAACGCAAAAAACATCAGACGAGTGGAGTTTTACGGTGAAATGTTTGTGAGATARACAGAAATATTCAGCAAACCTGACTCAACCTGCATGTTTCACATTAAATGTTGCTAATAAATCATCTGCTGAAAGGTTTCCTCCAGATTCACATATTAATAAGATCAGTCAAATTTAAAATAAGAACTCAAGGTTCCGTCTTTTAACACTTTTAACTCAAGTGGAAAAGTAAAACCTAAACAAAACAAACCTGAACTGTCAGGTTTACGGCTGAAGGTCTTTGCATTCACACAGGAAAAATATTCATGATTCAGATGAAACCAAACTAAAAATCAGATCGTGATGCCAAAGAAAGTCTGTCTGATGTGCTTCTTCTTGCCACGAGTGCATCGACGTAAGGCACAGTTCCCCTCTTTCAACAGAGTGGCCCACTTTATTTCTTTTATCTCTTAAAAAAACATCTCGATCCGAAAAACGACTCAGGTGATCACCGCCGAGGTTCAAGCTGCCCGAAGAGACAAGTTTTATTTTGTTTGCTGTTTTAAAAAAATTGTTTCAAATCAGAATTTTAGCAAGATGAAAAACAAATCTGCTACCTGACCCAGTGTTGTATCAAGATCTGCTTCCCCCGTCAGCCTTGCTCCATGTTCCCACGATCATCCACGATTGTTAAGGATAAATTAAAATAAAATTATATTATAAAAACCAACCAAAGAACAGATACAATTAAGAAATGTCATCATCAGCTGCTTATAGTTTGTTATTTTTAGCTAATAAACCCCTAAAATAAATGCTACGCTGCAGTGAGCTCTAAAAAGGAGATATAAATGAAAAGAGGCACGCTTGTTTTCGTTGGTGATCACCCCACCGGTTCTGGTACCGAAAAATCTGAAGGAAAAACGGGAACAGATCATTGTCTTTTACAGAAAATCTCTGGAGATGTTCAACCACGTGTCTGCCAGGAGCAAATATCGTGTTGTGATTGTACTCTAAGTGTTAACGTGTCTGTAGGATGTACATCTGTAGTAACATGTCTGTAGGATGTATATATGTAGGTCAATGTGTCTGTAGGATGTGTACCTGTAGGTTAATGTGTCTGTGTATCTGTAGGTTAATGTGTCTGCAGGATGTACATCTGTGGTAACATGTCTGTAGGATGTGTATCTGTAGGTTAATGTGTCTGTAGGATGTACATCTGTAGGTTAACGTGTCTGTAGGATGTATATCTGTAGATTAATGTGTCTGTAGGATGTATATATGTAGGTTAATGTGTCTGTAGGATGTATATCTGTAGGTTAATGTGTCTGTAGGATGTGTATCTGTRTGTAGGATGTATATCTGTAGGTTAATGTGTCTGTAGGATGTGTATCTGTAGGTTAATGTGTCTGTAGGATGTACATCTGTAGGTTAATGTGTCTGTAGGATGTATATCTGTAGGTTAACATGTCTGTAGGATGTATATCTGTAGGTTAATGTGTCTGTAGGATGTACATCTGTAGGTTAATGTCTGTAGGATGTGTATCTGTAGGTTAATGTGTCTGTAGGATGTATATCTGTAGGTTAATGTGTCTGTAGGATATACATCTGTAGGTTAATGTGTCTGTAGGATATACATCTGTAGGTTAATGTGTGTAGGATGTATATCTATAGGTTAATGTGTCTGTAGGATGTATATCTATAGGTTAATGTCTGTAGGATGTATATCTATAGGTTAATGTCTGTAAGATGTACATCTGTAGGTTAATGTCTGTAGGATGTGTATCTGTAGGTTAATGTGTCTGTAGGATGTACATCTGTAGGTTAATGTCTGTAGGATGTACATCTGTAGGTTAACATGTCTGTAGGATGTATATCTATAGGTTAATGTCTGTAGGATGTACATCTGTAGGTTAATGTGTCTGTAGGATGTACATCTGTAGGTTAATGTGTCTGTAGGATGTACATCTGTAGGTTAATGTCTGTAGGATGTGTATCTGTAGGTTAATGTCTGTAGGATGTACATCTGTAGGTTAA